GGAGGACAAGACAAGAGAGGTTGGGGTGGTGGTAGTAATCAAAGTATATTACGTGTATGCATATATCTGACATATCTTCTTCTAGAACACATATGCACTAATAAAAAGGACATGAAACAAAGCAATTAAAGATAGCATTTCAGGTAGGTTTGAAATACCTTTTCCTATTCAGGGAATGCTGAACAAATCTATGTGCATAGTATGTGAACCTGAAAAATGTGCACGTGTGTGGAGTTAGAGGGAAAATGGTCTTAGGGTGAGAAGAGAACTGATGAAAGCCGGGAAGGTGAACAGGGGTAAAATCAGGGAGGACTTGATGCCATGCTAAGGAATTTTATAATGTCTTATGGACCAGTGGTTTTCAAACAACTATAGTGATCCCCTGGCTCTAATGAAACATTGCATAGAAGCATAAATAAATACAGACAAAAGCAAAATATCTTTGATTGAATCAGATATGTGTGAGGTAGGGTCCTAAAATCTATTATCTCTTTTAAACGATCATAAGGGCAAATTCTGAGCAGCACAGTTTGAAAACTTCATCTGTGGACCCTATAAGACCAGTAAATTTTTGAAGCAAAAAAGTGAAAGGTGTAAGATCCCTGATAAGACTACCAATGGATATTGAATGAAGAATAAAAATGATTCAGTAAGGAAAACCAATTAAGAGGCCATTACAACTGTCTGATTTTAAGCAGAGATAATAAAGGGAAAAAGAAATGACTGAGTATGAAAGACATCTCCAAAGGTGGTTTTAGTAGAACCTGTTAGACTGTAGTCAGGCTGTGGGAAGTTTGGTAGATGAGGAAGAAGCAGAACTCGAGAATGGTTCTGTGATTGCTTACTTACATTAAAAGCATTTCTTATTTCTCTAAATGGCAAATCTCTGACCTAATTTCTAATATCCAGCTCATTTTCTTTAAATTTTCACTAACTCAGATAAAACCAAGATGTGATCATTTATGCCTAGATTTAGTTCCCTCAATTTTCTTCATTTACAACTTGACTTTGCTGGTAAAATCCTTCTTGATGTCATTGTTGTCTACAATTGTATTTGTATCTCATTAATAAGACAGTGTATAGTAATTTTATTTTTTACTAAGAGAGTCCCAGCTTAAACACAGGATGTGTTCCAAAAGTTCATTTTTAAATTACTTATTTGGAACTCAGAATATATTTTCCCATAGAAGCAGCATTATGCATGGCGATTATGTTCCCAGGCCAGTCCACAAGGACCAGTTTAGCCCATAATGTAACTGAAAGTGTGGATTTTTGGAATGGAAATTATTTGGAAATAGTACTGTTGCAATTAAACTGAAAACAATAGTTGAAAAAGAAAATGTCTAGGTTTTTGTTTCCCTCAAAGGATAGTGCTTGATGAAAAGCAGGCTTAGTCCTAGGATAACAAAACAAAATAGATGAGGATTTTTGTGTAAATTGGACTCTATGACTTTTTACATTTTTTTATAATAACGTTTTAGAGAATTTTAAAAAATAAAAGCATTCATGCTCATTGCAAAAAATTTGTAAATATGAAAAATACACATAAAAATTTAAGTTGCCAATAATCCTACCACTCAGACAGAACAACTGTTAACATGTTGGTATGCTTCCATCATTTTTTTCTTTGTACTTTTTTTTTGCAGTACTAGTGATTGAGCCCAGGGCCTTCACACTGAACTAGATTCCCATCTCTTTTCAAATTATTTTTAGTAAAAATCAAAGTATATTTTTGATCCACTGTTGAGGAAAAGTCAATTTTGCATTTGATACCCATGTTGGGGGTGAGGGAAAGTCATAGAGGTACTAATCAACTAGGGTCAGAATCAGCTGTTAAACTACCAATCTGTAACTTCAGGTCCAGCCACAACAAAAATCACAGACTTTCTGCTAAAGTTCTGAAGGACACATGTGTTCCTTGAAGTGCTATAAAAATTTGTAGCACTAGCTCCTTATCACTTCTGATTTTCCTTCAAATTATAGATGTTCCCTCTTCCCTGATACACTGTGTCACAAGCAGTACTTAGGCTTAACAACTGTGACTAAGGTCTTTTTTATTCATAAGTAGAATGCAAAGAGGAGCAGATATTTCCTGAGGTAATTAGGCATACATTGAAGAGAGATGAGAAAGACTGAAATCAAAAATGTGTACATACTTGCAAGAAAGATTACATGCAATAAAATCTATTAAAATAGTTTTTAAACATTTTTATTAGGATGTTGTAATATATAACAAATGCATTTGTCTTGGAGAACTGGTATATATACATAACACATTTGGATCCTTTTTACTTCCCTTTCTCGTCCTACCCTTATTAAAACTCCAGATTTCTTGCCCATCTCCACAAAAAATCTGTTTCCTATCTTCTAACTTTTATTTTTGTTCCTTAAACTATTTATACTTTGAATGTTTAAAAAATGAAAAACGGAAACAGTGTAGCATGCATATGGACCTTTAGAGTATGGAAAAGACCTAGGGAAAATGAAGCAAAGAAATGCATTTGTTAAGAACTGCACTTGGTTACAGAGCATGAAAAAGCAAACAAAAAACATTGACTTTGGGGAAAGGATAGCCAGCTAAAATAAGAATTTCAGGAGGCAACAAATGTAATATCAAGTGATTTTCTTTTACTAAGGAACAAAACTGGTTTGTGAAGACAGGTACTTCAAGAACTGAAACACGTTGTCTGAACATAATTTAATATTTCTGCTGCAATTGTGTACCATTTGATTTTAGCCCATTCAGTGATTTGCTGAAGGTCATTGTGCATCCCCTTTCTATCTCATTTTCTCCTATTACTCAAGATTTAGTTTATGGCATGAAAGTCCCATGAACTGCCACCTCCAGTTCCCATTCTTCCATTAAAGAATTGAAAATTACAAAGGAGTGAGAGGTGGAATCAAAGATGTTTGAAGAGGATTGTATTTAGATGTGGGTTTTAATGCACTAGGAAGAGTAACATAAAAGTTCGTTGGCACTCTGTAGAAGCATATGGCATTGCCACCCTCACACATCATTATGCAAGAGAATCTCCATCTATAAAATGTTGTAGCTATTACATTTGCTGTATTTATGATGACAGAAATTTTGAGCTATTAGGTCTGAGCTGAATTGCAGATTCTCAGCCAGTATTTCTCAATACTGACTGCAAATTTGAGTCACCTGAAAAGCTTCAAAATATTGATGCCCAGGTTGTCTTCCCAGAGGTTTTTTTTTTTTTTTCATAATTAGTCTGGGCATTAAAACTGAGGAGAGAAAAGTTTAAAACTCTGCTCAGGTGATTCTAATGTGCAGACAAATTTGGAGACCTCTAGTTTAGCCCTTTAATTAAATACCGTGTGGAATAAACCAGTTGTTCTCAAACTGTGTTTCCTGAACCAGTGTCAGCATCAATGGAGCACTTGTTACTATGCAAATTCCTGGGCTCCTCTCCAGATTTTCTGATTCAATAAATCTGGAGGTGACTCAGGAACCTGTTTTTAACAACCACTCTAGACGATTCTGACGGATGCTATAGGTTGGCTAGCCACTAGATGAAACAGTCCTTCCTGACCTTTTTTGAATTACATCTGTGAGCATTATTGGAAAGGAGAAGACATGTCTTCACTAGTTTATGTAATCTGGCTGGTAAAAGACTTTAATAAAATACCTGTGATAATAATTAGGAACCATATAGAAGAGCAAAATGGGATAATTTGTCGCAGAGCCCAAAGAAGTGCAAGAGAGAGCATATCTTCATAAGACTTAAGGTGTTAGGGAACCACATGAACAGGCACTAATGCAGGTGACAGTACCTGCAGGCAAACTCCTATCTGTTCTTTAAGACCCTGTTAAATTGCTAATCTGCTATTTGAAGCTGCTTATAAGCACTGACATAAATTACTTAATTCTTGTGTTTATTCAGCACTCTGTTCTGGTATTAGTGTCCTGGTATTAGTTCTAATCTCACTCTATTGTTAAAATGTTTATGTCTCTTGCCTTGACTAAATTGTGTAATCTTTGAAAACAAGGTGACTATCTCTTAATCTTTGAGTCTCCAGTGTCTAATACAAATCTGGCACAAACACTAATTGCTCCAGAATTGTTTGCTCAAGAGAGACATCAGAAATAGCCAGCTCTTCTTTTCCTTCTAAAAACCTTCAAAAAGTGGGCTTATCTTTGTGAATTAGCAGATCCTAGGTCCAACTCTCTCTCTTGAAAGCTAGGGACCTTGAGTTTTTCAGCATAGCATGAGTTGAAGCTTCCTTCGCAGTGGTGACCTAACACAACAAAGATCTCAAAGTTGTATAATAATCATTATCAACTTATGTATTTACTGTAAGATACGCCATTGTAATGTACCTAGACTACTAATATCAAATTTTCTTATGCTTCCTCTTATTATTGACAAAACCTTGGGAATTAAATGAATTAATAGTGCTGCAGTTGCCACAAAAGTATATGAATCTCTGAGCCACACAGGTTGCTTCTCATCTAACCAATGCCATATTTTTCATTTCTGTAATTTTGTAATTTATCGTTTTCATACCACATCTACTCACAAATTTTCTTCAAATAATATAGGCAGTTAATAAGTTGTAGAAATTTCCCATTTTTTCTTCCTGAGATTATACCCAAGTCAGTGTAACTGGATGCATGCATCGTCCCCACCTCTTTTGCATCACAGATTTACAGACAATCTTTTGGTTTCATTTCCTAGTTGCTTGATCACACTTTCTTCATATATGAATTTTTACTAGCTTACATCTCAGAAGATAGCCCTGTAACCTTATCTCTAAGCGTTTGGGAGGTAGAACACTTCAATGTAACCTCAACTTCTGCCAAGATTAGTAGGCTCAGTGTTACCAAAACTATGGAGTGGGTATCAGTGTCATTCTTTGAAGTGAAAAATTTAAAACCCAGAGTGTAAAACAGAAGAAAATTGACTTGTGCCTTCTGAGCCAACTTACGATCCTAATATGTATGAACTAAATGGATTTTTTTAAATTTTTCTCTGTAGGCATTATATCTGATAGCCACTAATGGAACCCCAGAGCTCCAGAATCCTGAGAGACTTTCAGCTGTATTCCGTGACTTTTTAAATCGCTGTCTTGAGATGGATGTGGATAGGCGAGGATCTGCCAAGGAGCTTTTGCAGGTGAAAATAAAATAGGACAAATTACAAAGGCAGAGTTACTATATTGAGCTTTTCCTTCTCAATGTATGACAGTAAACAGTTCTATCAGGATATTTGTAGCTCAAGTTAGGCTATTACCATTTGATTTTAGACCACAGGCACATAACTATAGGCATGGATCTAATACATGATTGATTGACATGTTGCCTTTTTCTGAGAAGTGGGCAGCTTAATCTGTAAATCTCTTTTATTCTTCCTGGAGTCTTATTTTGCAAGGAAAAGAAGCAATGTAACCCTCTGGTGTTGCTGCTTTGTTCTAAACTTTACTTGTGCCCCTGGATGTTGTGTGCAGGTGCTCTTGGCCGGAGGTAATTCTCTACATAACTATGCAATTCTTTCCATGGCATTTGCTACTCTAATGCTTTACTGGTCAAAGCCCCTTTGCTTGTGATGCCAATTGGCAGGCACCTGCTTGCCTGGGTGAGTACCATCCAGTGGTGAGTGCCTCTGTAACCATTTGTCCTTTTCATGGCTCTCAGGGATTAGTATAGATGGTAACAATGAATACCTAGTGTCTGCCAAATTTTTACATATACTATCTCATTTAATTCTTACTATAACTCTCTATAGGGTGGGTGCTGTTTCCTGCTTTACAGATGTGGGAATTGAGGCTCACACAAATCTTGTGTGGCACAGCTTCAGTTTGAGCCCTGGATTGTCTACCTTTTCACTATGCATCACAAATAAGCCAGTACAGATAAAAAGCTATTTTTAAAAGAACTAGTACATGCCTAGGATTATCCACACAGCGTCATTGCTGGAGACCTTCAACATCTAAGAGCGCAGTGATTGCTGTTGTCTCTATGAATTTGAGCACATAAGCTGATTTAACCAAAGGTACAAGAATATTAAATACAGATTTGCTGTGTGCTGCATCCCCACCACTACCATCAAAAAAATCTTTCCTGTTTCTTCTAAACTCCCTACAGTGACAGAGCCACAACCATGAAAAATTTATCTCAGCTTAAATCATACCTAGAATCAATACTTCTACTGATAGAAGCTGAAGATGCTACACCTTCTCTATGCTGCTACCTGTCAGCATTTCACGGGTTGTTGTAGGTGACTATAAATGATACTTTGTTAATTCTCCATTGAATCCAGCTTTAAATTACAGATAAACACCTGGACTTTTGAGTAATTCACTTCTAGGTCTTTTTACCCTTCCCACCAAATGCATCCCAATACATACTTCTGTAATGCTTTTATCCATGGATGAGTGAAGATCTTTGAATGCATCTAACTAACTAAATATTTCATTGAATCAACTACTTAATTCACTCCCCCAAAGTACTTGTATTTTAACCAGTTAGATAGCTGAGGCAAAACTATATTTTGGGTGTAAATTAAAGTTTATCTTTTAATTTTATACATGTAAGCTTGTAATACATGCTTATCTCCTTAAGTCTATGTGTCTCCATTCTCTGACTCTGGCCTATCCTTGCCCATTTTAGAAGTCACAAAGGAGAGAGATGCATAGCATTCATGCCCCTGAAAGGCTTGAGAAAAATCACAACTCTTGAGTATTTGTGTTCCTTTCTTTATACCCTAAGTAGTTCACAGTCCATCAGTAGATATTTATTGAACAACTTTAGTTTGCAAAGATAAGTACAGTGAGTTAAACAAGTCTGTAAATGGTATGATGCCAACTTTCAAGAAGTTCAGTCCCCTTAGGTATGTGAAAAGATAATACAAGGCTGCTAAGAGGCTCATACAAAGCCAGGAGCTGTTCAAATATTAAATGTGTAAGTTACTTAAAGAAATATGTCTGTAAGCTGAGTTCATCAGAACACGTCGGCAAATAGTAAAGTTCTGCTGGGCCTTGAAGGACAGGTCAGTTTTAGCTAGTTTAAGTAAAGACAGGAATGGGTTTCGGATGGAAGTGTTATAGCACAGCCAAAGGTATGTGCACAGGGTTGAAGGGAAAATAACAACGAATGGCCAAAAACAAGGGTTCAACCAAAAAAGCTGTGGGAGATAAGATCTGAAGAAGAGGACCTTGAACACCAGGCTACAGGGCTATGTCTATAAACAATTGGATGGCACTGAAGATATCCGAGGGGCAAACATCATAAAAAGAAAGCTTGGTTTAGCAAAATTAATCTGAATATTATGCAGTCAGAATTAAAACAGAAAAGCAGTGCAGGCAGGGGTAGGTACTATAATTTAATTTAAGTAGACATGGCCTAAGAAAAAGCAAGAGACAAAATTAAGAAACATTGGGAAGTTTCTGGGCATCTGTTTACATGTAGGACATAAGGAGAGAAAGACAAAAATGACTTCATGGTATCAAACCAATAGTGGCCTTCAGTAAAAGGACATGACAGAGGAAAATATACTGGTTAACATTTCTTGGTACCTATGTAGCTTACAAAGGTCTGTCACTTTCCTCACTTAACCATGACGAAAAGCATATGGGAGGATTGAACCTAAGGGTTCTGACTGCAGAGTGCTTGTAGTTAACGTTGCCCAAGATGAACCTGTTTGAGAGATTTTTAACAAGTTTTTAAATGTTGAATTAAAGGTGACAGAAAAATATTACAGAAGAAATATCCAGCAGGCAATAAGAGAACAAGAACTAGAGCTCAAGAGAATAAGTCATACAATATAAGTGTGGGTGTTATCACCATAAAGCTGATGACTGGTTGGATCCATGAAAAGAAAGAAAATCTGAAGCAATTTGGGGCCAAGCATGATGTTGCATGCCTGTAGTCCCAGCTACTTGGAAGGCTGAGGCAGTAGGATGCAAGTTCATGACCAGATTGGGCAATTTAGCAAGACTCCATCTCAAAATAAAAAATAAAAATGGCTGGGGATGTGACTCAGTGGCAGAGTGCTTGTTTAGTACATATAAGACCCTAGGTTTCAACCCCAATACAGCCAAAGAAAGAAAGAAAGAAAACAAAGAAGGAAAGAGAGAAAGAGGTTAGAGAAAGAAGATGGTATGTGCTACATTCTAGTATGCAGAAGGCAGGAGGAGAGAGCCAAACCAGGGAAAAGGATGGCTGGGAAGTATCTTAACCAGTGTACATGAGAAGTCTGATGGGGAAGGGCCAAGACAGTACAATGCCACAAGCCCCAGAAGGGAAACTGTTCAAAGAAGGAAAAGATTTTCACTTGCATTACGTACTAAAGAGGAACAACAACAAAAATGGTATAGAACCTAGCGACTGAAGTTAGCAGTTAGGATGGCACTGGTTTCAGAGTAAAATTCTTTAATGGGCACCTGAAGATGCTTTTTCAAAAATGAAGGCTGCCATACACATTAAATTTTATCTTTTAAAGAAAATCAGAAGCTCAGAACAGAACAAATGTAGTGGGCTTTTACAAGGTTCCTACCCAGAGTTTTCAGTTATTCTAGTCTGAATCCAGAGGATTTCATAACAGTGAAAGACTAAAGCATTCAAAGGACCAAAAATTTGTCACTACTTTTAAAATTAAATGATCTTTAATTGGGTATTCACCATACATTCTAAATGAAAAAAAAAAAGCAACTTGAAAATATAAAGTAATGCACTTGTTGGAGAAAGAATTTCAGTAATGCCTCTCTTTTTTCTTCCTTTTGCAGCATCCATTTTTAAAATTAGCCAAGCCTCTCTCAAGCCTGACTCCTCTGATTATCGCTGCAAAGGAAGCGATTAAGAACAGCAGCCGCTAGGACTGCAAGCCTTACCCCTCACCATCTCCCTCATAAGTAAGACTGAACTAAAACTTTGCTTCAGGAAAGATGGAAGAAAAGACAGTCAAATGGGGTGGGGGTTCATTAACTTTGAAATAAATAGAAACTTCTTATAAGCCTTTTTTCCTATTCCCTCAGATTATGTAATTTATTTGTAAGCCTGAATTGCAGCCCAAACAGGGCAGCAATGACGAAGTGGCCATCAAGTGGTCACTTCCACCGTGAAGCGAAAGAGCCAGTAGTGAATCCCCTCATTTTGTGCATTCACTTTGAAGAAAAGGATTTCTCAAAGATGCACACTCCCTCTTCATAGTGTTGTGTTTGTTTTTAAGTTAGAGAGTAGTCCCTCTTGCATTCAAACCTCCTTCAAAACCCCTTACCCAATGTGATGTTTTTCACTTGCATTGTCATTAGATGTCCAAAAAGAGATGTCAAAATGTTTTTTTAAAAAAAGAAAGCAAAAACACAAAGCAAAAAAATTACAAAAACAAACAAAACAAAAAAACGACAAACAAAAAAATAGAGCAAGTACTGTGTGAACATGTGGAACTCCATGCCCTAATAGAGTTGCAATTTTTTATTCTTCTTCTATAGTGTGGCTTGGTTTGTGTACCTATTTTTCTGCATTTGTATTGGAAAAGGTTTCTTTTAAAACATTTTCCGAAAGCAGAAGGAAATATGTATGTTCAGGAAGGGCTTTAGCAAATTCTGTGTCTAAACAAAGATCAAATGGTGAAATCCTGTCACATTTTCAGAAGGATGCTTGAAAGGTAGTTGATCTGTCGCATAAACAAGCTTGTTAATTTTCATAGTACTGGAAAAAAGACACACTAACAAGTGCATCCCTGGTCCTGAACCTGGGAAATCCTGATAGGAGAAACCATTATGTAAACAAAGATGGGACTTTCTCTGAAAGCCAAAAGGAAAATAAGACATCTGTGTGATACTGAAATTCTTGTTGGATATTACAGTAAACAACGGAAAAGACACCTAATTTAAAACTCTTTTGTGCTTGTAGAACATATACAATGCAAAACAGGCACATCAGAAGGAAATATATCCATCAACCAACATTTCTTTATGATAAAATGGTTTAATTTGACAATTTATAGCATTTTGGAATTTTTTTGAAAATAAAAAAAATAATAAGCTTTTAATTCCTTAAGAAATGGGGTATCAGTGAAAGACATCCCAATCAACATTTGCTTCTGTGTACTTCTTTATGTTGGTGTTTGCCACCAATTTCAGTTTCAGGATATTATGTGTTAATATTTAGCTTTCTGGACTTTTGAATTTCAAAAGTCTATTTAATAAAATTCCTCAGTGAAAATAATTTTGGCTTGCAACGATATATTCCATGAAATATCATTCCAACTGAATTCCTTTTGTAGCTTGGGGAAAATACCAAAATTTGACTGTTATTTCACCATGTATCTATTTCTTAAAAATCTAACAGTTACTACTTCCTGAATCTTCTGAGAGTAGAAAAATATCTGGAAGGTGTATGTGTAAAAAAGGTTGTCTCTTTTATTGTCAATTTTATAAATTTTGGAAAATTGTTTCACTAAGCCTTTGAAAAACTAACAGTCTATGCTGTAGAAGACTTTTTAATTTGTAGAATATAACAAATCTGAATAGAACCTATCTACATCCAGCAAGAAGGAGAAAAGAGATCGGTGACATAGGCCTTTCTCCTTCTCTGCGAGGTACATCTATCCATCTAACCATCCATCCACCCACCCATCCATCCATCCTTTCTTTAAAATGAAAGCACTTTCTTTTAGAGTTTCTACTAACTGTATTGTGTATGTGTTTATGTTTAGAATATTCCACTGGTGAATTTCCTATTTTCCTATTATTTTGACTATAAAATTTGGGAGAGTCTCGACCGTCATCCCCCCCCCCCCAAATTGTCCACATTGCAATAAAACAACAAATGTGAAAAGAAAATCAAATGGTAATATTAACTGGATGTATACTATGTTACACTTTGCAAAGAGGTATCTGGGTCTAAGATTTTTAACACTACCCTGCTGTAATGAGATAGACAGACCATAATTTTTATTTCATTTAAAGTCAAGGTTTTTTTTTTCTCTCATAATGCCAGGTAATTCAATGAAATACCTGGGATGCAAATAAAGTCCAGTACATTGGTGATAATGGTCTCACCAATGTAGAGCCCAAAACCTGATTGGGAAGCAACTAGTCATCATTTAGCTTCCCTTACATGCTGTAAAGGCAATTTTGTTTTGTTTTGTTTGGTCTTATTTTGTTATTTTGGAGACCCTGAAGTGTTAATCCTTCAGATCACTGTAGGCAGAGAAATAGCTGCTCTTTATACTTTTAGTTCAGCATATTAACAGTGAAGAGCCAGGTACTATTTTACCAACACTTTGTACTAAGTTTTGATGATGATGTATTCTAGTAGGCTTTATTCTTACAGATTTATTTATATCCACATAAATTTTCAAATGAGAACAGCTTCTAACCCCTTTCCCTCTGTTGAAGAGTTATTTATATTTCTAAAAAGTATTAGAGAGAAGCTGTTTCTCATGCCAAAATGATTCTGAAGGGTTCACATTTGGTACACTTGACTCAACTTGGACTCCAGATGGTTAAATAGTTTCTTTCCTTTCCTTGAATGTTTTAGCTCATCTTGACACAGGTGAGTCTAATCCATATCTTTATTGTTGCTGGTGTTACCTAAAATAATGAGGGCGCATCATCGAATGTTAACTCCAAAATGTCCTGAGATAGGAATAGGGCAATGTGAAAGTCAGGGAAGGGTATGAAGCACAGTAGATAGTATTTATTTAAGAAAGAAAAGAACATTGATCTTGTAGCAAGGATCCGGTGCATTGTCATGATCCCATGAGGATTTTGTGATGACACAGTCCCTTCAAATTGGTCACCACGTTGGGTAATGACTTCATTCTTGTTGATACTGTCTATGTGTCATTGTAAATATTTGTGTGTCTATGTTCCATTTTGGCTACTGGATGGCCATTTCATGTGAGATTTAATTTGAGTATTTATTCTTTAATTGTTATTCGGATTTTTTTCAGGCTTGTGAATTGCACACCAATGTTTTTTACCACCAGATCCTCACATCTATCCCTCCCCTTTGAAGCACATTCCATTGCTAAAAGAAAAAGAAATATGAAATTGCTTCCTGTTGTCTGTATAAATGTTTTGATAGTTTGAGATGTTTGTCTATAAAGGATATTTCGCAGCTCAAAGATCATGTAAATAATTATACTCCTTTGCTCAATGGGTTATTTCTAATGAGTCTGCTAGTTCTCAGAGATTCTATGAAATCAGTTTTAAATAGCATAAACAGGGATTACGACTATATAAAATTAAGCTGCATATGGGCAAAGACTAAGAACGCAGATAATGGAAATCAGTTTTGTTAGGGAGGTGGGATTATGTGATTCTTTTTTCGCTTTGAAATTTTCTTTGATGTTTTTGTAATATTACATTATAATGAATAAACATCAGAAAGGGAATTCTAGAAGCATAGACTCTAGAATGCAGGACACAGATGTTTGCTAGTTATAATTACTCCATAGGCTTTATACTTGCCCGTGTGCTGAGGTTGGCACACGCTCACGTATGGCATGTGCTTTCTTAGGAAACTGTTATCTATGTAACTCCAACTTCATTCTTTTGCTTTAAAAGAGGCTGCCTTCTTCTTTAGTATGACATCTGCATGTCTATTTTGGTTACCGTAGGGGTAACTATTTGTCTAGCCCCCTTGATTAACATTTATTTCAAGTACCATCTTTCTGAGTTATTTTAGCAAGTTTCCAAGTTAAACTTTGGAAGAATAAAAGGATAAAGTTCCTAGCTCTCACTATTTCTTTGCCCAATAAGATATTATATCATTCAGGTAGAATTCTTTTAATGACCAGGGAGCAAGTCCCATTGACGTCAAGAGAAATTATGACTTGAAGTTAAAAGCTAACTCTGAAATCATTAAGACAGATATTTAGGATTGTCTCTGCCTGGTGGCATTCAGTTACAGTCCTATTAGTTCTGGCTTTAGATGGTCTCCATGTGCTTTTGTGCTGCTTAATTATAGGCTGTATGCAGTAACTGTGATTTTAAGAGAAAGAGAGATCATGTATTAAAAGAGAGGAATGTCCTTCTAACTCACCAAAGAAATTTTAGGCTAGGACTTTAATAATATGCTAGTTATCATCAAAAGCAGACTCTATGCCTAAAAAAAACTCACTGGATTTTCCTTAGCCTTTTTAAGTATGAAGTGGAAGTCTCAATCCTTCCATCTGCACCTGAATTTCTTGGTCCTTTATTGAGCTACTTGCCGTTAATTGTCAATGAAAGGTATCACCAATGGAGCAAGCATCTCCCAGTCTCTGAGCAAAAGACTGAAATCTAGCAAATGTAAACTGACAGTATGATTGGCCTCTGATCTGAGTGAACTTAACATGCAGTTCTGAACATATATTTGCATATGGATTAGGAAGGCAATAAGTGGGACCTTGGAAATAATGAGATTGTTTTTCCATGAAAGAGGTTTTCATAAAAGGCTCATACTATAATCTGTTAGTTAGTTTTCAGTTTTTTACTCTTTTCTGAGCCACATTTCTATAATAACCAACGAATCTAACCCAACTTCTCATGCATTGGAATGTCTATTTAATATTAAAAAGTATCTATCTGAATCTGCAGATACGGAAACTGAAATACCACCTTCGTTCACGTACCTCTGCATATACTACAGTATACTTATTATTTGTAGCATTTACTTACACTTAATTTGGTGGAACTTGCAAGATAAAGATATCTGGTCAGTGCCATCAGAGTCTCCTTCAAAAACTGCCATCAGGTGAATTCTATTCCATAATATCAACAGTAAAGCAGTCAGCACATTCAGCTGATTTAATACTTAAGAGAAAATAAGTGATCATTCTAGAGAATAAGTCAGATGTGGTAGAAAGAATACTAGCCTAGAAAGGAGACCTGGATTCTAATAAGGGCTTTATGAGCACCTTACTGCATGACCCTGGGCAAGTCTCTCACTTTTCTATTGCTGTTTCCTCATCTGTAAAATAGATATCAGACTAGCTTCTCTCCAAGGTCTTTCCCAAACCTCTACATTCTGTGGTATAAGTTGCCTTGCAAATTCAATCTGCTAAACTGATGGCAAATATCATGCTTAAGCCTGGGTCTCTTATGCTGTAGTGAAACACTAGAACTATGTAAGATGGAAAAACTCAAGTAAATGAAGTTAGTAATACTAAAGAATGTTGATACAACTTGTGGCAGTCTTCCAGTTTATTCACAATTGTTTTGTTTTATTTTTGCTTTAATTTTTTTCTCTGTTAAGTGTTCCCATATTTATTTTCCATAAACTCTCTATGTAGACTCTGGTTTTCATTAAGCTGTGGTCAGTATTTGCTACTAGAGCAGAAATACGCTGTCACATTTGCTAAAATAGAATTGTACTTGGGCCTCTTCTTTCCTGTAAAGCAGCGCTGGGCCTTCTAGATGTAAATTCATAAATGGCACAAAATGGCAGATCTAATGCATTTTAATGGCTGAGACTACAAAGAGTAGATCTAAACGTTAGTAAGCTGCAGAGAGAAAATAAAAAGTAAATATGTGCTTTTGACATTAAGAAGTCTTGATAGATTTACTTTTTGGGAACCAAAGATAGTTTTTCTGATGAAAACTCCCCCAGTGGCCAGTTGTGTGAGTATGCTGCTGGAAAGAAGGTAAATTTCGAAGTTAGTGAATGGTCCCAATGGCCTGCGTACAGTAGAGTGCCAACCAGCCCTGAGTGCAAAATTCAAGTTCACTTTGTATGTGTGAGTGTGGTACACTTTATGGACCCACATATATTATATTCATGAGTGACAATAAGATCTCTAATGGAATCCGCTAACTATTAATATGTTGAGTTTTAAATATCAATACATCAGCCGGTAGGTGCCAGATTACAAGGGTATTGATGTTCTAGGATTATACTCACAACAATCAGGTAAAATAAATTAAAGAGGATCTACATTTTCACTGTTTCACAGAAGTGTATCTCATTTGGCTGTGCATTACTTTTGTCAAAATGTGTTATCTGTAAATCCATGTGTAGTGAAATTCTTCTGTAACTTTGGATTAAAGGTATTTATGGTCTTTTGTTTGTTTGATTTTTAAGTAAGTTATTTCTTTTGTAGACTTGCTGATGGTATGGTTCCATCCTTCTACCTTCAGCAATCTTTTTAAAGGATTTTTGTTTCCAATATTGTTATTTTAAATTGTGGTTGAAGCAATAGAAAATTGAAATATGGATTGTGCATGACTGTGTCTTGAGTGTAAAAATATTGCAGTTTGAAACTTGGACCTAAAGTATTGCAAATAAAAATGACAAATATCAATGAGCTGGTGCTTCTCTCTTCTGTCATTTCCCATCCACTTTGGGATGGCCATTTTACCACTTTGCAAGTCAGAGGGAAAACTGTTTTTCAGGTATAAAGGTAACCAAATGCTCAGCCTTGTGAGAAATACAGGCAATGCCCTGCAGATTCTACCACTAAATAATAACTCAAGCTCAGTGTCTCCATCTGGATTTTACATGCATTGGCTCAGAGACAAATATATGGGTTCAATAAAGAGTACAAGCCTGTTAGATCCCAAAGGTAGATGGCAGAGAAATCCCCCAAGAGAACAGATGCAATAAATAATTTGACTTCGATTGTCTTTTTATTTAGAAGACTCCAAACACAGGAAGTCATCTGGATAATGCTTTAGTTGTGTGTAATATCTGGTATGGAAATCTTCAGAAGATATTTTGAACCCACATTCCTGAGAACTTCAATTCACCCATTCTTTTAAAAAGTATTGATTTCCTGCTATGTGACATACACTGAGGATATTTCTACTAAAGAAAGATTTTATATTAAAAATCACCTGTAAATGTGACTAAATGACCATAAAGCTCACTAAAACTTACCAGATGCACCTGTTAGAGTCTAATTTGTCACTCAAAAACAAGCTAGAGATTTAATCCATCAATATTACTAGTACAGTAACCATAGTGCTTCTTTCAGAGCACATACACGTGACTTTATACCTTTGTGTACATGGGTACACATTCGTACCGTGCTCCCTCCAAATGTGTTATGTATATTAACCAAATAAATGTGAATTTCTTATTTTCTAGCTCACTATACTTACATGCAGGTTTTAGTTTTTTTAATTGTATCTCTCCAAGGTTAAAAGTAAGAGAAATGTTATGCATAAAACCAGGCAAGTGAATGAGAATTCCATCAACTAGCTTTTAGTCAAAATCTCTGCTGAGCATATACATAAAGTGCTTTATTACCTCACACTCTATTAGTCTCACATCCTTTCTTCAACTACTTTTTACCCTTATTAAAGGAAGGAGAAAGACTTTTTTATGTTTTAGCAAATTATCAATATGTTTCCTCAGAAAAGAAAAATTTAAAGGACATTTCCCATTAGCACAATAACTTGGAGGATCAAAGTCCCACACAGTAAAAAAGCAAGAAAGAGGTAAAATGAAAATGAAGTATCTCTTGCAACTACATGTAGACTTACACTTATCTCAATAAAATTTGCAATAAGAAAAGCAGCGGAGTGGATGTCACCTTACTTGTGACATTTCATAGGTCATGCTAACTAGATAAGACAAATGATACCACATTCCAACCTACTTCTACTGCCAACCTCCAAGTTACCTTGGTATCAAAATGCTCACTAAACTTTATTTCATCTGTTGCCAGTGCCACTACCTTACATAGCAGGATCTCTAACATTCTCTTGGGGATACTTCTGGGGTCTCATTCAGGAAGCAGAGAATTCAAATATTGTCTGCGAGTTCTTATCTGTAGACATGGATCAACTGCCTCCTTAGCCTATGATATCACATGAGTAAAGTTCATAAAAAATAACTTTTAATTTCACAACATATAAAACTGAATTGCTTTGTTTGAAAAGACAGTGTACTGTAAGGTGTGCAGTGCTGGCCGCATTCGACCTATGTATGCATCTACAAAAACCTCCACAACTCAAAGCTCTGATGGGAAATGTGAGGCTCCGTACATAGTACAGGCTTAGTGACACACAAGATGCCATGTACCCAACTGAGTTCACCATACATCCTCAGACTTTCAGGTTTTTCACCATTTTTCCTCTGCTTTCTTGGCATTACACTTGAAGAAGCATGCCTCCACATACGGATCATAATGAGTTATTTCCAGTTATGTTGTCCCTCATTGTTGTGCCTGGCTGAAGCAGCTGAGGTGTCACCTGCAGCTACAGAAGCAAACCAAGTTTGGCTCCTCAATCTGAGTGAGAATTAAATAAATTCTGCCTGGAGGGGCACTTACTTTGCTAGCCAACATTTATATGGTGGCCAGGTAGCTTTCCTTTAGTTTCTGATTGGCTAGAATGTAGGCTGTGGCCCACAGAGATACAGATTCATCCCATTTTCCCCTGACAATAGACAGGACAGCTGTTTTGGACTTACCACAGAAACTTAATTCTTCAACAGTTCCTATCAACACACTGTAACAGAACAGTTGTGTTTATTCCATTCAAGGTTATTTCAAAATGCTTTGGAAGCCAACTTGTACATTTGTAGTAGTTTTAGTCTAGCATATTATATCAGGTTCATACGTCTCTACAACTCCTAGTGCCTCCCACATAGAGAAAGTCACTGGACAGTGGGATTTCTCACCAAAAGTAAAATTATGAAGGTAAAGTCATCATTCCTACCACAGTCGCCTCAAAAATGCTTGGTATTTGTTCTCACTGTCTCTTGGTCTTGCCTCTGAGTTATGGCTTCTCATTAGGAAAATACAGAATTAAGAGTTTATATTATTAGATCTACAACATTTCACTTCTAAGTATTGGCTTTCTCAGTTTGAAAAGATAATAAAAATGCATCCAGGTTTATAAATAATAAAAAATTAAACCATCAATGTACTATTCTGCCACAGAGCAATGATACACTACTATGCATTATTATAATTACTATTATTAACCTTAGCATTTTTTAAGAAATCTTGATGGATTGGAATACCTTCAATAGTTGTCACTACTCTAAGCAAATTTTGACCACAGATTGAGAATCAGAAGAACTTATTCCATAATACTTTAATCATTGTTAGAGAACTTCTGGTCCTAAATAGGGCAAATCCATGTGAGTGCTTGTAGGTGAACCATGAACCATGCAGACAAGGGAAGTATGCACCCCAGTTAAAACCATGCAGTTTTATTGATTTTTAGATTATGCTTCAATGAAGCTGAAAATTTAAAAAAGAAACTGTATCACAGTGCAGCTGGGCATGGTGGTGCATAACTGTAATTTCAGCAGTCAGGAGGCTGATGCAGGGGGATTGTTGCAAGTTTGAGGTAAGCCTCGGCTACAAAGTAAATTCAAGACCAGCCTGAACTGCATAGTCATATCTTGTCTCAAAAAGGAAAAGAAAGAAAGAAAGAAAGAAAGAGAGAGAGAGAGAGAGAGAGAGAGAGAGAGAGAGAGAGAGAGAGAGAAAGGAAGGAAGGAAGGAAGAAAGAAAGAAAGAAAGAAAGAAAGAAAGAAAGAAAGAAAGAAAGAAAATATGACAGCATGTATATATATAATTTGACTTCCTTCACTGAAACCAAACTCATCCAAGGTGCAATCCCTTCTCAAATTGTTATAATAGCTTCTTAACAGCTCTCCTTGCTTCTATGCTTGCATACTGAGCTACAGTCTCAGTGCTGCATTTAGCAAAGATCAAAACTATAATTCCTTACAAAGTAAAGTCCTTGTAATGAAGATGCACAAGGTTCACCACTGTGTGTACTACCCTCTTAGCTTCTCATCTATTCTCTTCTGATCTCCTCATTACTCATTATGCTCCTGGCACATCGATTCCTTGTTATTCCACAAACATTTCAGGAATGCATTTGCCTCAGAGGCTCTGTGGTGTCCTCTACCTTCTGATGGAACACTCTTTTCTCACAAATCCATATCCTCATTGCTTACTTGTTTTTCTATTTCAGAGAGGCCAATCCTGATCACCTCATTTAAACTGGACTCCTCCCAGCAGAACTCCTAAACTGCTTTTCTTGGTCCTTTGCCTTATAACATCAGCTTTTATTTTGCCTATTGTCTGACTCTTCTCAAATGCATATAAGGTCCACTAGTGCAGGCACCTGTGGGTACATAGTATTAACTCAGTAAACCTTTCTTGTTTTATTTTTGTTTTGTTGTTGCTTTATTTTTGTTGTTATTGGTGTTGAGAGAGTTGTCTTCTTTGTTTTTTTTCTTTTTTTGAGAGGGTCCTGTTGTGTAGTTCAGGCTGGCATTGAAATCACTATGTACAACAGGCTGGCCTCAAATTCACAGTGATCTTCCTGCCTCAGACTCCTGATTGATTGCTGAGGTTACAAGCCTGAGTCACCACAGCTGGCTGACTCAGTGAATACTATTTCTTTTTGAAATTATGTTATCTTTCAGTTGTTTTTTTTTTTGACCATTTCACTTCTGATCATTGTCCTGCCACTCATGTCATTTCTCCAGCTCCCATTCTCCTTCTCTTACTCAAGCCTTGCATGTAAATGTCCCCTGTGATGCTTTCATGGTCTATTTTAATCACACCCTTGCCTCTAGTTCCCACCTATATCATGACTCCCAAATCAATAACTCCAGCATATGCCTTCTCTAAGCCCCAGAATCGAATTGTAAATTATCTACACAGTATCTCCAGTAATATATCTCAAAGACACTTGATTTTCAAGCTATTCAAAACTAAATACATTATCTCATAATAAGTATGCCAGCTCTTCTCTTTGCATTCTCTTATCAAAGTCAGAAATTGAGACATTATCTTGGAAGTTCTTCTCATTTTAGGTACCCCTATTATTTATTCAGTTACCAAATTTTCTTGATGCATGACTGTCCCATTAGGTGGCTTGTACTACTGGTAGTACAAATAGATCTAATCACTTTTATCATTCTTTTCACTAATAAAATGAACACAAAATCTGTAAATAGACTAATTGTTTGAATTTGAATAATTGCTGCTGAAGCATAAATATTGATTTTTGCCATTTATACTAATTAAAATTATAACACCAAATTTATTTCATTAAACTAAAAGAAATGTATATTTATTAATAGTTTATCATTAATCAATTCACTAAATTTTACCATGGAAATTTTATAAGTAACTTACTGCTGGTGTATGCGATATATATTTAAAACTGCTGTACCACAAGTTAGCAGTATTACAAATCTTTATACCACTTTAATGTTTTCCACAAGGAACTATAATACGATTACATGCAGTCTGCTAAATAATGCCTTTCCTTGCATTATTGTAATCAAAGACATCCTGAGAAATAGTGCAAGATGCCTGATGGGAAA